TTCTGTTAGTTACAGGTAGATATGAATTCCTGGAGAACTTTGTGTCTAGACTGAATTTGATTGTGCTGATTTCTTTCAGTCTATGATATTTTTTGACAGAACTTAGTTCTTTGTTCCAAGCCAGAATTTACAACCGGTCCAATTGATTTATTATTATTTAATAAAATAGTTGCAAATTTGAACGGCAAGCATTGGAGTCAGCTTTGTATATGATCTCTTTCTGGGATTGTGATCGAGGTAATTGTGGTGGATAAAGGATGTATTTTTATTCTTTCACACACAGCATTACTATCATCACAAATAGTGTGCACTTGTGGATATGTGTTACGTGTGTATGTGTATGTAAAGTGCATTTGTTTGTGTATGTGTGTATACACACACACATACAAGCGCACTTTACATACACACACATGCACACACTTTACATACACACACTTTACACACAACACACATACAAACGCACTTTACATACACATACAATGTATACACACACAAACACACGTAAACTGCCCTTGTGGATATGTAGTATATCTATCTATGAGTGCACTACACACACACACGTACAATGTATACGCACACACACACACTCAGTCAGAAGAATTAGTTGATTTACACTGTCCTTGCCCCAAAGGCTTACTATCTCTAAGTTAATTCCTCCTCATTTGGTACTCTGTGAGATTGCTTTATTAGAAGCTCAAGATTTTATTAAAAAAGATCTTTGCACATCCCTTTTCTTTCTGTAAAAACATTGAAACAAATTTTCTTCTCTCTTTTACCCCCTCCTGCCTCTTAGCAGGAGTATTATTGTAGCAGAAGAGTTGGGCAGAGAAGAGGTTTTTTTTAATTTCCCCAACCCTGCCCTGTGAGGGAAGAATTCAGCATTCTTGTTCAAGTGACTGCATCTGCAGTAGTATGCAAACCAGTTAACATTTGTGGTGCTTTAAATTGTTCCAGCCACTTCAGAAGTATTGTGAGCACGGGTGTTGAACACTGGTAGTCCTTCACTTATGACCATAACTGAACCGTCAATGTCAGTATTAAGTTGTGATGGTCATAAAGCAGATCACTATGTGATTGTGTCTGATTTTATGACCCTTTTTGAGGTGGGGATGTCATTAAGTGAATATGGTGGCCATTAAGCAAACAGAGAACGAATTTAATCTTTAAGGAATGTTATATAATAAATAGAAAAGTTCACATTTGGATGCATTTGGATTAGATGACCATTCAAAGTAAAACGTCCTTTTCTTTCTTATTTTGCGTTCATTCAAAGATTGTACCATTTGTACCAACAATATTAAATTGTTTATTAGGGAACAAGAAGCTCACAAAAAGTCTTATTAGGATGAAACTGTCTCTTAACAGTTTATTACTTCTAATTCAAAATTTATCCCATCCTTCTCATCAGCTACCTTCCATTTTTCAATAAGTTTGTGAGGTTTGCCTTTCTGGATTTCTTTGGCAAATGGCAAGTGTGCTGTCAAACCATATTGGCTTTTAATGTCTTAAGACTCACCAGAATATTAATTTAGAAATTTGATGGCAGATTTCCTGTCAGGCTCAAAAGACCAAGTCCACATGTAAAAGCCCAATTCAACTTATTTATTACTAAAACAGCTTATGCACAGGAATCTTCTCAAACTAACAATATCTGCTTGGAATTAGATAAAGATCAATGGAATTCAAGAGTTGGACTTAATCCGCTTGTGGCTATGTAGGGAGTTCTAAGCGGTTCCTCTTTTAACTCCACCCCAGGTTCTGCCACTTCTCCTACATCTCTAAACTTTATGAGGTTGCTATATTGTGTGGTTCATAATATAATTTTTTCACTCTTGTATTCAGACCTGTTTGGGTATGTAGCCTTCTTGGAACCATTGGAAGGACCATGTTGTGGAGGAATGGCTATTTTCTCAATAAACAAAAGAAAGTAGAACCGCTTCAGACCACAAATGCGTTCGCCCTAAATTAATTGCTATTGTGTGCATAAATGAAGGTATTTGTTGAATAATCATGACCTCAGGAGAAAATTAATAGTTTATGGTGAAATATTTATTTTATTTATTAAATTTGTTTGCCACCCATCTTGCTGCAAGGTGAAGAAAGATGTTAAAACTATAGGATGGGGAAATGTTATAGTTAAGTAATGATGGTGTGAGTGTTGGGGAATCTTCAGACAAATATTTCCAAATAAATGGTATGATGGCTTAAACAGGAGTGTCAAATTGGCAGCCCATGGGCTGGATACATTACGTGGAGGCTATGTGCCTCCCAGCTCCACAAATGGGAAAAATGTCACAAAACATCTTGTGACGGTAATGTGATACAGCAAGTTTCACACCCGTGGGCTAAAACATTAGACAAAAGCACAGAAAGCCACAATTTTAAGTCCACTCTTAACTATAGAACTTGCTGAATAATTTTGAACCTGTAAGTGTTTCTCAGCCTAACTTACTTTATAGAATTGTTAGGGGGCAAAAACTCAATGCACTCTTTATTTATTAATTAGAATTAGAATTCTTTTATTGGCCAAGTGTGATTGGACACACAAGGAATTTGTCTTGGTGCAAATGCTCTCAGTGTACATAAAAGAAAAGATACATTCGTCAAGAGTCAAGAATCATAAGGTACAAAACTTAATGATAGTCATAGGGTGCAATAAGCAATCAAATCATACTAAGAAACAGTCAATATAAATCGTAAGGATACAAGCAACAAAGTTACAGTCATATAGTCACAAGTGGGGGGGGGATGGGTGATAAAGAGTGACGAGATTAACAGTAATAGTAAAGACTTAGTAAATAGTTGGACAGTGTTGAGGGAATTATTTGTTTAGCAGAGTGATGGCATTCAGGAAAAAAACTGTCCTTGTTCTGGTATGCAGTGCTCTATAGCGTCGTTTTGAGGGAAGCAGTTGAAACAGATTATGTCCAGGTTGTGAGGGGTCTGTAAATATTTTCACAGCCCTCTTTTTGACTTGGCAGTATACAGGTCCTCGACTGAAGGCAGGTTGGTAGTAATTGTTTTTTCTGCAGTCTTAATTATCTTCTGAAATCTGTGTCTAAATAGTGAAGATGAAATAGAGCCTTTCTCATTCAATTCAGTGTTATGGACCTCTTTGTTATATTCTCAGACCTGTTTTAATTCCAGGTAAGACAAATCCCACTTTTAAAGAGATGTGAGTTAAGTTTTACAAGGTCGTGAATTAGATGCAAGGATCAACTGTAAGTCTTGGTTGAGAAACGGTTACATGACTCTGCCAGTAAATACAATACTTAGAATGGTGTTTTATTGTTAATGCCTCTAGGGTATTTCATTCTGATCCTGGTCAGATGGATGAACACCATAATTCGCAATATGCAATAAAAACCATGACATAGTTGAAGTTTTAAATACAAAGACAGTGTGTGGCTTGGAATCATAATTCTCCCTCTCGGTGTTACTGCAGTCCCTCTCAACCTACTGTATTTCCTAACTCTTCTGCAAAGATATAAGGAGAGTTGTTCCAAAGAGAAGACATTTAGTTACAACTAGTGTTTGCTATTTGGTTGAGAAGATTTACATTGAAGGACTTGCTGTTTCTGGTTGTTTCTGTCTGTGTGATGAGATCAGGCGGGATGGACACGCTTCATGTCTGATGAATTAAACAGTGTCATCTAATGGGGCCCCCAGGACATATTCCTTCCCTCTTACAGCATCTGTCCTTTGGAATAATAGCTTCCCCCCAATTTGGATAGCTCCCATGCTAATGAAGTTTTGGGGTTTATGTTTGCCTTTGAGCCCTTTATGTTTTTTTAAAATTTGTTACTGTTTATTTTTTTCCTACTTGTAAGCTGCCAGAGTTATTGGACATCAGGCAGCATATAATTTGTATATGTAAGTCAATTAATAACTTATGATGGACTGTGATCTCTCTCTATCTCTGTGCTGCATAAAAATGATAAATAGTTATCTCATAGAACATGCACATTATTATGTTAGCATTTACCAGAAGTCCTAAAAACTATAACACCAATAAATTGCTTATATATTGGGGAAATGTACTTGCTTCTGATCATGTTTGTTTGGGGGTTCTTCATTTCAGCCCCCAAGAGAAAATGAACCAAGTTGCTTTTCATGGGATGGGCAGCTACATGAATTTGATTAATAAATAAACAAATAAGGTCAAAGCAAAGCTTGAACAGCAATAGACATGCTCACCCTGGTGGCCCAATTCCAGCCCCAGTTCAGTGGCCACTTGATAAGTGGTAAAGAAATGGAGATTGGTCAGGGAGCACATTCACAAATGCTTTAAAAGATAAAACCATTCAATTGCCTGTGTTGGTTTGCAGGAGAAGGGCTAGTGCATAGGTCAAATCAGGCTGATGTTGCCATAAGATCTATATTTATATGTGTAACTATAGAGAGATATTAGATTTTTATCCTGCTTTTATTAATTTATAGGTAACTCGAGGCAGGTGAGCATATATAATACTCTGTCATCCTCCTGTTTTCCCCACAACAACTCAGTAAAGTGGGTTGGTCTGAGGAAGTGTGACTGACTCAAGGTCACCCAACCAGCTTTGATGTCTAAGGTGGGACTAGAACTCACAGTGTCCTGGTTTCTAGCCTGGTGCCCTAACCAGTAGTCCAGATTGACTCTATGATATAGATAAGAGAGCAAGGCTTGAATCGTACACAATAACTATTGGCGATAGCTAGCAATGTTTCCTTTTAGAAATACAAGTAGGATGAATTTTTTGTTCCTTATATACTTTACAAATGTTGTAGAAGTAAATTAACCAGTAGAAAAAATGGCTGCCTGTTTGTTCTCTCCAGCATTAGTAATCTGTTCATGATGTTGAATAGTAAATTATAAATAGCATGGGAATAAGATTTAAAAATTCAGAAATGAAATATAGGGGGATTAGATATGGAACTATTTAGCAAGCATTATAAACAATATACAGTATGAATTGGAAATTCAGCAGTGCCAATTCTCTTCTTTTATTTTGTCTCCCCAGGGTACCACTGTGCGTATGATAACTGCAATTGACCAAGACAAAGGGCGCCCAAGAGGTATCGGTTATACAATTGTGTCAGGTGAGTCAGAAAAATCAGTCTGAACTAAAGGTGTTGACCTGGTAACAAGATTTTAGGCTATAAAACAGGGGTGCCCAACACTTGACTCATTTAAGCCTTAGGGACATGCTGGCTGGGGAATTCTGGGAGTTGAAGTACACAAGTCCTAATGTTGCCAAGTTTGGACACCTTTGTTGTAAATAAAGCCACCATATTTATACAAATCGATAAGTAATCAATTATTGTTTTATTTGAGCTTTTGATATCCTTCTGCAATGTTCTCTCAATGGCTGCTAATTCTTCCTCCATCGCCATCTGGATGTGGAACATATGGATAAATAAATAATAACAAGAATTTCTAAGCAGATATTTACACAATGAAATTTTTAAAAACCCAAATTGTCTCTTGTAACAAAGATTACAATTTGAAAATAAATGATTTCTTAACATATAGTTTACTAATAAAACAATAGATTTTGACTCAGTTTCCCATGAGTCTAATTGCTCTTTACAATGTAAATAAATTTTACTAATTATATTGTAAATGATCTTAATTAATTTTAAACATTTTGAGCTTAGAACAGGGGCACTAATGTTGCTAACAACAAATAGTTTATAGTATATTGGTTGCTTTTTTTAATCTCTTCCAGACTATATATTACTATGGTCCTTCAATCCATTTGTTATTTTTCAACTCTAAATCTATCCAGTAAAAGACCCCCCCCCCCCAAAAAAAACCCTACCAAAAAGAAACTGGGCCTAAAACACCCCAGTTTTAAGGATACAAAGCATCCAAAAATATTTTCCTGCCTTATATAAACATTCCTGGGAATGTTTTGAACTCATTGCAGAATTGCTGTCTATGGTCCTGAACCCCAATGAAAAGCTCCCAGCTGATATCAGCAATATCTACTTTTTCTTAAGCCCGTCCCTGTAACTTGTCTTTTGTCACATAGCCTTTATTGTTTAGATACTACATTGTCTAACGCACTTTTATTGATCTTTGGAACAAGAAATATGTAAATAAAGAGAGCCATTCTTTTATTTTTATCTACTCAAAATGGGCATCAGAAAGAAATGTATACTCAAACCTGGATTAAATGGATTATTTGGGGAGGAGATGTCCAGTCCTTTCCAGAAACAACAGTAAAACTTTAATCTAACAAACTCTGCAGGGAGGATCAAATTTTGTATGTTGCATCTGAAGACCCTTAAGTCTGTGGTCTCCTTTCCAGCTTTGCAGACCGGTGGTGGCGGGGGGAAGATGGGGTAGTTTCCTATGCACCACTGCTTGCACAAATGGAGCTTTGCACGCTCTCCCACCGCTTGTAGGGCTCGGTTCCCAATGGGCTATGACTCAGTAATGGGCCATGGCCTGGGGTTGGGGAACCCTGCCTTAAGTAAAAGTCAGTTGAACTGAAGTTTTGCTAGCATAGCATAGCATAGCACAGCACACCACAGCACAGCACACCACACCATACCATACCATACCATACCATACCATATTTTGTCTATTAAATTGAAATGTTTTCCCCTTTGGTGTTGTTTTCTGTTAATCTGTATGACTAGGGCAGCAGTAACTTCTCTATACAATAGGCTATATAACTACATAGATCCCAATCGATGCTAACTCATTGATTTTTAAGTAAAAGTACATTTATTAAGAAGTACTGTACATGACACTAGAAAAGACTCACTTCCATCTGAACTGCATTTTGAAGAGAGGGAACAAAGAAGGGGGAAGGGAGGGCCCAAATGAACAAGAAATAGAAGGACCTTCTTAAAGAGCCTTCTTGTCTCTCACCATTTGCCCTAATGTTTAAAAGAATAAAATAGGCACAAATCAGTGTGTCATGTTCCTGAAAAGACCACAACTGGTCTTGCTGGCTCCAATTTCTACCAGTGCTTCCAGGCAGCTATAAGTTCAGAAGGAACCTCCAGTTGTGGCCCTCCTTATTCCACAATCTGTTCTTGAGTGGGGAAATAGCCTGTTTTCTCCCTGTTGTCTTTGTCATGATATTATCTTGTTTTGCTATTATACCTATTATTCTTCTCCTGCCTTTTCCATTGCTGCCAGCCCTTAGCAAACACCTGCTGCTTTTCTGTTCATCTTGTTCCTCAAAGCTTCCTTGTATTGGGGATTCTCCCATCAACACTGTCAACAAGGAAGTCTTGATACACTACAAGATTTATGAGTAGCTACAACTATTACAGCTACGTGCTCTGAAATGGTCTTGGTCATTATTAGACAGACTGGAAATAAACTTTTCCTTCCTTCCATACCACTGTTATCTTAAATCCAAATTATGATAGTCAGAGTTGGAACTGAGCTGGGAGTATTAACATTGAAACTGTGCTTTGTATAACACTGTAGTGTTTCCTTTACAAAGCTAACTTGAAGGCTTTCTTTAAACAGTGTCAAAATTGTGTCTGAAAAAAACTGTTTTACAAATGCTAAAAAGGTAAGGTGAACATATTTGTGTCCATTTGATAAAGTAGCTAAGATCATATAATTCTGTTGGCATTCAACATTTCATTGAAAAATAGATGGAAAATTAAGTGATATTTTTTCCCAAGATACAGAGATAAATCAGGTGTTTTTCAACCTAGTGTTGAAATTAGTTGAATTTTGCAGTGTCATTCATTGCACTGAATGTCCATACTTTTTTATTGAAATTTCATGTATAATAACATATTTGTCTGACTCATTATGATGAAGAGACATTGTTAACGAGTTCTGAATATGGTTGATGTTGCATGAAAAGTGTGAACCAGAGTATGGATAATTTGATACTTGGTGTTTATCAATCATTAATTCAGCTATTTACTTCAAAATCAGCTCAATTTTCTGGCATCCCCAAAACTCAATTCTTACTATAATTAAAGCACCAGTGTGAGTTCAGCCACATTAAAAAATACATTTTGAATCAAAGTTAAAATCTCTATGAAACAAAATCAGATTTTAAATTAAATTAAATCGTACGTTTGATGATTTAACATTTAGTGAACTTCAGTGCTAAAAGCCTAAAAAAACCCAAGTTAAACCATGCTTTATTGAAATACAAAAAACCTAAGGCTAATAAACTTTTTCTGTAGATGCAGGTGCTATATCTGATATACTGTAATAACTTTGTTTATCAGGGCTCTCTTTGATCTTTCTAATAGTACAGATTTTACTCTGCCACCTGTTATGTAACTGTCCTATTGTAGAAAATTGCCTCAGTATAATCCTTGAGACTTGCATACATGCAGAGTAAGAGGCGATCGCACACTTTTTATAAACACAAGCATATTTGCTCGCATACATCAATCTTTAATCACTGCCTCGAGATCTATCACACTCTATCTTTCACCAGAAAAAAATGAAATGCAAATTACATCAAAGCAACAATTGATTAAGCTGATTAGCATTTTTCCTTTTATTTTCTTTGTGTGTGTATGTGCGTGTGTAATGATACTGCAGCCACAGTTTTTCATGGAACAGCATCCTTGTAAGAAGCAGGAGATTTCCTCAGTGGTATATTTTTTTCATGTCTAGTTTGAACATCAGATTTTGACATGAGGTGGAGTTAGCTATTGATTGCCTGGTATGGAGCATTTTGAATCTGTTGCCAATCTCTTTCATTTTGTACTTTGGTTCTCTGCATCAAGAAAGAAAGGTGCTATCATACCTCTTAAAAACAATAGTGTCATCTTCCTCAAGCAACAGGCTATTGTAGAATCATATTTCTTGTTCAGGAGACATCTCCTGACAGATGCAAACTTTATGTTTGAACTATATGTGCCAGATTTTGCAAAATATCTTCATTTAGCTGGCCAGAGATAGAAAGTAAATTGTACTAAGGGTGATATTATTGTCAATAAGCTCACATTTGAGCTTCTAATGTAAATTCCTCTTCTAAAATGGAATTTCATAGCCAAAGAAGAATCTTTGACTAAGAATTCAGAAGTATCATGATAAAATAAATATTTTCCTTGCAACATAGATGAATTCAGTGTCAAATATGAAATTAATTTACATGAGAATAGCAGAAAAGAACTTGAATTGATCCTAATATGTGTGCATCCAAATGTAAGGGTAGCTCTTTATGCATCAATTCTCAATAAAAGGATCTATAAAGATATAATGAGAGCTAATCTCTGAAAATAAGTTGATATATTTAACTGGAAAATATTGCTAAAATTTAACATTGTACCAGCCATGTAATTAAAATGTAATTTGAATCAAAAGCTTTCAACAAGCTGGTGGAAATTAATAGTCAGTAATTACTCTTGGTTTCCAAAAACTATCTGAATAAGGTACAGAATAGCATGTAGCTTTCCTAGGTTACTTGTAAGGATTTATGGATGGCCATAGCATGTTACAGATCCTGTGGAGGAGAGATGCTTTTTCATACTGATGAACCTCCTTTTGTAAGAATTATCTAAGGAAAAAAAAACCCTCTTAGATTGACATCAATGATACAACCAAAAACAAACAGCCTAGAATACATCTGTCCCACAATAACAACCTAATAGGAAACAGCTCCAGATAAATAATCATGGAAGAAATAATACTATCATCCTCTGATCAAGGAGGAAGCCACATCCCACCAAGACTGGCAGAGGAAGCTACTATAGATAAGCAGCCAGTAATCCTCCTCCTTAATCCTCCTCTCAGACTGATATTGCTACTTATACTAAGTAATTAACATTTGCAAGAAACCAACATTTTAACTCTGAAGTACATATATTCTCTTCTGCTGAATTTGCTGATGGTGCCATTGTTTAGTTATGCTGTTTCCTCTTTATGTTGGGATTCTGTTTTACTCAAACCCAAAAGCTGTAGAACTTAACAAAATCTTAGATAATGTGCAATTGTGGGAAAGATATTAGAGGGAAATTTTCTTTTGAAACATTACAACCAATGAAAATAAACTTGGAGAGCAGAATAGGGAAAAGGGAAGAGATAGTCTTGAAAGTATGTTTAATCAGATTTCTCTTAAGATTTGAAATTACAATAAGAGATACTGTAGAGGAGC